CAAATGGGTATATCTTTCCTTTTCTCCTTTGCTTTTTGGTTCTCTTCTTCTCACAGGTATTTATTTGTAAGGCCTCCTCAGACAGCCATTTTGCTTTTTTCCTTTTCATTTTCTTGAGGATGGTCTTGATCCCTGTCTCCTGTACAATGTCACGAACCTCCATCCATAGTTCATCAGGCACTATATCAGATCTAGCCCCTTAAATCTATTTCTCACTTCCACTGTATAGTCATAAGGGATTTGATTTAGGTCATACCTGAATGGTCTAGTGGCTGTCCCTACTTTCTTCAATTTCAGTCTGAATTTGGCAATAAGGAGTTCATGATCTGAGCTACAGTCAGCTCCTGCGTCTTATTTTTGCTGACTGTATAAAGCTTCTCCATCTTTGGCTGCAAAGGATATAACCAATCTGATTTTGGTGTTGACCATCTGGTGATGTCCATGTGCTCATGTCTATGATGTCCATCTGATGAAGTCTATGATGGAGTAGCCATCATAGTCAACAAGAGTCCGAAATGCAGTACTTGGATGCAATCTCAAAAATGACAGAATGAGCTCTGTTCATTTCCAAGGCAAACCATTCAATATAATGGTAATCCAAGTCTATGTCCCAACCAGTAACGCTGAAGAAGCTGAAGTGGAACAGTTCTATGAAAACCTACAAGACCTTTTAGAGCTAACACCCTAAAAAGATGTCCTTTTCATTATAGGGGACTGGAATGCAGAAGTAGGAAGTCAAGAAACACCTGGAGTAACAGACAAATTTGGCCTTGGAGTACAGAATGAAGCAGGGCAAAAGGCTAATAGCATTTTGCCAAGAGAATGCACTGGTCATAGCAAACACCCTCTTCCAACAACACAAGAGAAGACTACACATGGACATCACCAGATGGTCAACACTGAAATCAGATTTACTTCTGTATCCTAGAGCAATGCCTGCAGGCATTCAGTAGATCCTAGTTGAATAGGTGAATGATCAAATTAATTACCTTCAGATACTGGGAGGGTGGGCTTCCCAGGTGGCACTTAGTGGTAAGGAACCTGCCTGCCAGTGTAGGTGGTGCAAGAGATGTTGGTTCGATCCCTGGGTCAGGAAGATCCCCTGGAGGAGGGCATAACAGTTCACTCCAGTATTCTTGCCTGGAGAATCCCATGGACAGAGGGGCCTGGTGGGCTACAGTCCATAGGGTTGCAAAGAGTCCAACACTAACTGAAGCAACTTAGGACCCTCATATGCACTGGGAGGGCATGTGCCAAACTCCAGTGGTCACAAAAGCAGAAGTATGTCATGGACTGTATTCATTTTCTGTGGCTGCTGTAACAAATTATTGTAAAATTAGTGACTTAGCACAAACTTCTTATGTATAGTCTACAGATCAGAAGCCTGACACGAAATCAGGCTAAAATCAAGGTCTTGGCAGGGCTACTCTCTTTCTGGAGGCTCCAAGCTAGAATCCATTTCTCTGACTTCTACAGCTTCTGGAAGCTGCCTGTACTCCTTGACCTGAGGGTCCCTTCATCTTCCAGGCCAGCAAAGGCAGGTTTAGTCCTCCTCACATCACATTGCTCTGATCTTCTCTTCTGCCTCTTTCCTCTTTTAAAGACCCTTGTGATTCCACTGGGTCCACCTGGGTGGTCCAGGTTGATTTCTTTAAAGTCATCTGACCAACAATCTTAGTCCCACTTGCAACTTAATTCCTGTTTGCCATGTAAACTAACGTATTCACAGGTTCTGGGGATCAGGACGTGGACTTCTTTGGGGATCCATTTTTCTCCCTACCATAAGGACTAACAAGTGAGACATTTTGCCTAGAGCCTAAGGTTTGAGCTGCCAGTAGTGAAATAAAAAACAAAAATTTAATCAAGAATGGCCATGGTTGTCACGATTTAATATGTGGGCTTACATGGGAGGTACTGGGAAGTTACTCAAGGCTTTGGAGTCGTGTGTTGGAACTGAGGCTTCAGGAGATGAAGATGGACTTACAGCAGGTATTTGGAAGGAGATTGATGTTTACCTCTTTAAAAGCAATTGACTTTTATTTCCCTCTTATACATACAGAAAGCTAGGTTCTTATTTAGAATTTCCTAAACAAAGCAGAGTCCATTTATGGTGTCTTTTTAAAAACCGTCCTGTCATATTATACATGCGTACAGTGCATATATAGAAAGACTCATAAATCCCTGTTACACAGACACACTCACACTCTCTCTCTCTCTCTCACACACACACACACACACACACACACAGCTCTGTGCTGGAAGTGAGTAACCCCTCTCTCTCTCTCACACACACACACACACACACACACACACACACACTTCCTCATACATTCCCACTCTGCTTCTCTTTGTACTTGAGATCTCTTTTCCGTGGTACTTACTAGCCCTCTTTTTTTTCCCCCCTGCCCTGGCACACCCAAGTGACTTGTATCTTCCCACCAGTAACACAGGCTTATTTACTCAGGCAGTGATTCTCACAGGGGTCATTCTGTCAATATAAACCTTCCCTAGTAGGTACGTAAGAATCTCTAGGGAGATACATAGAGTTTGAAAAAGTCTGCCCTCCTTCAGTTTAACCATCACCCCACAGTGGCTGTGATTTGATATAACTTCCTAGAATTGTTCTTCTCCCTGCCCCCCACTGAGAATCTAGTGGATATGGAATACCTGGTTTTGAGTAGAGTCTGAGAATTTCTTACCTTTTTAATTAACTTGTTTGGCTGCGCCAGGTCTTCACTGTAGCACATGGGATCTTTGATCTTCATTGTGGGATCTCTAGTCTTGGCATGTGGAATCTAGTTTCTGTTCCAGGGATTGAACCCAGGCCCCTTGCATTGGGAGCACAGAGTCTTAGCCACTGGACCTCCAGGGAAGTGCCCCAGAATTTCTTACCCTTTGATTAACCTCTTTAAACCAGTAGAAGTTCCTGTGATGACAGAACTGTTCTAATATATCTGTACTGCTCAATATGGTAGCCACAGCTACATGTGCCTACGTGCTCTTAAAATGTAGATTTATAGGAAAAACAGAGGACCCAGTAGGAGGATGGCCAATGAATAAATGGTAGTTCCTACTTTCATTTTAAATTGCCTTAAAAATTTTTTTTAGTTTATTTTTGGCTGGGCTAGGGCTTTGTTACTCTTGCCTGGAAAATCCCATGGATGGAGGAGCCTGGTAGGCTGCGGTCCATGGGGTTGCCAAGAGTCAGACACAACTGAGAGACTTCACTTTCACTTTTCACTTTCACACATTGGAGAAGGAAATGGCAGCCCACTCCAGTGTTCTTGCCTGGAGAATCCCAGGGACAGCGGAGCCTGGTGGGCTGCCGTCTATGGGATCACACAGAGTCGGACACGACTGAAGTGACTTAGCAGCAGCAGCAGGGCTTTGTTGCTTCACAAACTTTTCTCCAGTTGCGTGCAGCATGTGGGAGCTACCCTTTAGCTGTGGTGCTCAGGCTCCGCATTGCACTGGCTTGTCTTGTAGTGGAGCGCAGGCTCCAGGGCACTCGGGCTTTAGTAGTTGCAGCTCCCGGGCTCTAGAGCACAGGCACAATGGTTTAGGTGCTCCGAGTCACGTGGGATCTTCCCTGATCAGGGATCGAACCCACATCTCCTGCATTACAGGTGGATTCTTTACCACTGAGCCACCTGTGAAGCTCTGAATTACTTTTTAAGTTATTTAATGTTTTTTTTTAGTTTTTTAGTAATCAAATTGGTTCACATGGGTGTAATTGTACTCATCTTTTACCTATCCTCACTTTGATTGATGACTAAATATTTGATCAAAGTGTTATTCATGGGTCTCCTGGCAAATAATTTTTGCTCTTGCCTCTGTTCTCTTTCCTGATAAATACATACATGCATGTGCGCTAAGGCGCTTGTCATGTCTGACTCTTTGTGAACTTATGAACTCTACCCAACCAGGCCCCTCTGTCCAAGGGATTCTCCAGGCAAGAATATTAGAATCTGTTGCCATGTGCTCCTCCAGGGGATCTTCCCGACCCAGGGATTGAACCCAAGTCTCTTTTATCTCCTGCATTGGCACACAAGTTCTTTACCACTAATGCCACCAAGGAAGCCCGAATATATTCATACATATATATATGAATTTATGCAAACTTTACTGAGACATAATTCACATAGGATACAATTCAGTTACAGTGTACAATTTGATAGCATTTGTGTAGCAATTTGTAGCTTTTCATCATATCAGAAAGTGATGAAAACTATCACCACAATTGCTTTTAAACATTTTCATCACCCCTAAAAAGTCATCAGCAGACCCTCCCCAATTCTCTATACCTATCATCCCCTTGCCCTGGCCATTTGCTAATATAGTTTCCTGTCTGTATGCATTTATCTACTCTGAGCATTTCATATTGGTGAAATCATATAATATGTGGTCCTTTGTTAGTGATTTCTTTTACTTAGGATGTTATTGTTCATGTTTATTTATGCTGTAGCATGTTGTAGTACTTCAGTTCTTTTTATTGTCAACTAGTATTGCATTGTGTGATTATGCCACATTTTATTGACCCAGTCATTGGTTCATGGTATTTGGATTTTTTCCATTTTGTTACTATGAATGATGTAACTGTGAACATTTATGCTTAAGTTTTTGTATGAACATATATTTTCATTTCTCTTGGACATGAGTGAAATTGTTATGTAATAACTCTGTTTAACTTTTAGAGTAACTGCCAGACTCTTTTCCAAAGTGGCTACACTATTTTACTTTCCTACCAGTAATATATAAGGATTCCAATTTCTCCACAACCTCACAAACATATATTATCTTTTTTATTATAACCATCCTAGTAGGTGTGAAGTAATATCTCCTTATGGTTTTGATTTGCATTTTCCCGTTGGCTAATAATGTTGAGCATCTTTTCATGTGCTCATTGTTCATTTGAATATATTTGGAGAAATGTCTATTCTTGCCCATTTTTTTAATCAAGGAATTTGTCTTCCTCTGTCCTTTTAATGTGGCCTGAACAGGATGCTGATATGCTGACTGGTGATGAACAGGTATGGAAGGAAGTCCAAGAATCCCTGAAAAAAATTGAAGAACTGAAGGCACACTGGAGTATCCTTTTACCTATGGACTGAGATGTTCATAGGATTGCTTCCTTACTGGTTGGAGCCTGGTATTAATGAATTCAAGTCCAGGGTTTGACCTCTCCATGAGCCAGAGAGCTTCATTCTGTTCCACACTCACAGGCTGCATCCCTGACCCCAGCCAACAATTTCAGTAATGGCGAGGAAAGATTGTGGTAAGGTCAACGTGAATTCCTCACCATCATTAGTTGATAATCAAAATTTATAGCTAGGATTAGTAGGATAGTATGGAGTATGCTCTTTACATATGTACAAGGTAACAAATTTCTGGATTCCCTTCCTCCCATGACCTACATCTCTATAATATATAACTTAAAATCCTTATAATTTAATGACTATAGTCAGCCATGACTACAGTGGTAGTTGGAGTTGCTGCACAGTACATTTTCTTGCCATAAATAGTAAGGACCGTGAGTGGGTCACATTTTAGAGTAAGGAGAGACCGTATATGATGAGGTCCTCTGGGAAGGCTCCACCGATGTTATCCTGTGTGAAAAGTAGCCCAAATCAGGGACAAGGTTTAGATAGGCAGAGGCTGAGAGGGAGCCACTTCCAGTAGTGGAATTAGCTTGAGCAAAAATGTGACAAAAAGAAACCACAAGGTAAGGAGAAAGAGACTAAGGTAGATTAAAAAAAGATTGCAAAACATTGTCAGATAGATTATATCCCAGGCGCTAAGAAAATCTACAAATGAGGTTTCCAAAGTACAGTGTTCTTTAAAGAATTGGAGAAGAGCAGGAGAGGCAGTTAGACAAATGTTCCTATTTTTTAAAGGTGAAATAAGTAATTTCTGAAATCTATAGTTCCAGTGAGTTTTTGTTGTTAGCAGTTTTGGTAAAGAATCTCAAGCTAGTGACAAAAGGAATGGAGAGGAAGCTGTGATCACCAGGATGCTGCAGGGGTTCATTAAGAGCCGGTGAGTTCACAGAGTCATGGCTTTCTTTGGTAAAGTTTGTATGTAGACTTCAGAAAGAGATTTGATTTTAAGAAGTAACCAAGAGATTTATGCTAGATGCTAGTGTGACCAGACGTCTCATTAAATGGTTGAATAGCCATACTGCACAACTGATGCTTAATGGATCACTAACACTGTGGAGTATTCTGTTCCCAAACCAGTCCTCTTCCTTTGATTCAGCACCTTGTCTGAGGATGCAGAGCACAGGTTCATCAAATTCTCAAAAGTATATGGAATGGAAGGATGGCAGAGGTGGGATGACAAAATCAAGAGCTCAAAAGATCTTTGAAGGTTTGAATGATGCAATGATGCCTGAGATGAAGATGAAATTCAACAAAAGGGTATCTCACATCTTCTATTTGGGCAAGAAAGTTCAAGTGTATAAATATGTATAAAGTTTGACAACAGAATCTGTGATAGAATTTTAAGGTTTTTAGTAAACATCAAAATTCAATAAAGCTTAAGAGTATGATATAATCCCCCCCCCCCCAGGGGAAAAAAAAAACCACTCCTGTGATCTTGGACTCCATTAATAGAACTAGAGAATAGAAAATGAGAAAGGTAATAGTATTAGTCCAATCATATCTAAAATTTTCTCTTCAGTTTGGGGTAGGACACATTCAAAGGGATAAAGAAGAAAATGAGTTTTGAGGCATGGAACCAGGATCAAGTGGTATTTGAAACTCTGCAGACAGGATGGGAGACAATTGGAAAGCAGTCGAATCTGAGAGCAAGAGGGCTGTTCTCAGGCCCAGAGAGCTGTTGTTACACTTCAGAAAAGACTTGTTCTGTGTAGTGCCCTGCAGAGAAATTAGGGCCCAAGGATGATCAGTTCAGTCTCAGTGGGATGAGTTTTACTGACAGCATTGTGCCAGGTGCCTTACTGGTTATAGCCCACTTATGGTCCAGGAAGGATTAAGAAGACACAAGCCTGCACTCCCAGCCCTCATAGTAGTTGGGTAGTAAATACATTAATTTTGAGGGACATTGAAAGCACAGCAGTCAACTTTGGGAGGTTAAAGAAGGTTTCACAGAGGAGGCGACTGCCTGGGAGGGCTAGGAGGAGTTCACCAGGCAGGCGGTGGAGAAGGGGAGACCCTGAGGGAGAAGCCTGTGCACGCACGGAGGTGCAACCACCTGCGGCCCAATTACAGTTGTTCAGTGTGAGAGACGGGAACGCGGTCGGGCCTTGCTTCAGTGTCGTGCACCAGACTAGATGCTATGTGTAGGCTCGGGGACCACGGGAGGATTGTAAGCAGTGGACGATGGTAAGAGCCCAGGGTTGTCAGTCTTTGAGTCTCAAGGAGTTAACTCCCAGGTGGATTCACTGTGTTCCCCTTTCTTTTTCCCCCTTAATTTTCTTAACAGTCATGGGAAACTCTGCAGAAAGGTGCCTGTCCTGGCATCAGTACTCTTTTCTCTTCAGATAGGCTGTCTGTCCTGTTCTCCTCACTGGAACAGAATGACTTGTGGTAAACACCCAGTAAATGCCAGGGACTAAACTGTTGAACAAACATACATGTCAGCATTAGCTTGGGAGAAAAGCCGCTTAGTTAAAATTATTCCATTTTTTTGCTCACTGAGGTGTTTTTACAGGAAAGGTTTGCCTTGTTTGCAGGAGACTTGCCAGTGTTGCGAAGGAAAGTCGTCATGTGGTTCCTGCCAGCTTGCTGGGGCATAAAGCAGATGTATTCCTATCAGCGGCTGCATCTGGTTTTTACTTCCAAGGCTTGTCACCTCAAACCTCTTTAAAATGAGTTGGAGCATATATAAATGAATAGGCAAATAATAATGGCAGTCTCACAACTTGATGTTAAAATAGGGTCAGAGTCTTGCCACAGAAATGTCTGGGCATTGTGTAAGAGACAGTTGTTCCTCCTGATAATCCATCACATAGCTAATCCTAGGATGAAAAGCCACAGAGGTTAGCCTGGAGTTTGTTACAAAACCAGTGCATTGCCTAAGACACTGCCTCCCCCAGCTTCAAGGGAATGCATGCAGTAAACTTTAAGCACACATGTCAGATGAGTAAAACAGAAAGCCACAAAGTCACTTTTCTTCAGTAAATGTACCTCTTGCAAGACCACAGTTAACTCCTCAAAGACAGGACTTGGCCTAAAGTGATAGAGTATCATGTACAGAAATGCTCATTAGCCGTGTATTTTGGTGCTTGAAGTTCTACCCAGGTAGTCAGGCCTGTAGTGCCAGGTATTCTGCCTTCAGACAATTATATATTTCTTGTGAGGATTAGTAAAGATATGAGCTCTCGGGAGTTTAGGGGAGAATGGATACATGTATGTGTATGGCTGGGTCCCTTTGCTGTTCGCCTGAAACTACCACAACATTAATTGGCTGTAATGTTAATGATAGTTCTTTAGTCATGTCCGACTCTTTGCCACCCCATGGACTATAACCCCCCCAGGCTCCTCTGTCCTTGGAATTCTCCAGGCAAGACTAGTGGAGAGGGTAGGCATTCCCTTCTCCAGGAGATCTTCCTGACCCAGGAATCGAACCCAGGTCTCCTGCATTGCAGGCAGACTCTTTATCTTCTGAGCCACCAGGGAAGCCCCTCCCCAATACAAAATAAAATAAAAAGTTAAAAAAGAAAGATATGAGCTCCCACTCACGCAGCTGACTTGATTGGTTTATTTAAACTGTTTACTAATGTGTTGGAAAGCAGTGCCCTGAGAGTCTGAATGCTGGAAGAAGTAGATTTGGCTGAGCACACACACCTTGTTTTATAGACTTGGATCACTTTTGTTTTATACTCAAAAAAATTTGAGATCCAGTAGAATGGATTTCTTTCAATTGCTTCTCCTTGTGTGCGCCTATGGGTTGTGTTTTTGGCTTCATATATGCCCAAGGTTCAAACGACACAGAAGCAAGAATGAGCTCCTCCTTTTTTAAAAGGAATCTCTCTAAAGCTTCTTTAATTTCAGATGAGTTTTGAAACAGCAGCTAACAGAGTAAATAATTATAAAGTGAACTTAGTCTTTAGCTCAGTTTAATAAATAGCTGCATTCATTTGAGGACTGGGTTTCAAGAGAATTCATCTAGTAGGACTAGGAAGGAAGAATGACTCTCTGAAAGTCTAATCCCCCAAAGCACAGGCTTGGTTGGAAGATGGTTTGTTGATGTAAACAGAATTTCCTTCTCTGAGACACCACTTACATGTTTTTGTTTCTCGAGTGTGTTTTCAGGCAGCTCATCTGTGCAAAATAATGGGCACTTCCTTCCCTCCTGTGCCTGGGAGCTCTTCAGCCTTGTAGAGACTCTCATTTTACTTTTGTTTTCCCTTGATGAACACAATGAATCCTTAACTGAGGTTAATAACAGAGTGGGAACAGGTTCTGGCCATGTGCCAGTCGATCATAAGCAGTAACGCTGAGCGGCTTCCTGATATCAACATCTACCAGCTGAAGGTGCTCGACTGCGCCATGGATGCCTGCATCAACCTCGGGCTGCTGGAGGAGGCGCTGTTCTATGGCATCCGGACCATGGAGCCTTACAGGTGAGTCGAGGGGACAGGCTAGAGTAAGGGGTGAAGGCTCGAAAATGTGACCTCATGCACATCACTGCTGCTTTATAAGCGTGTTGCATCTGCTGCTCGCTGTGTGTGTAAAGCCAAACCTTTGTTCATTGATGCATTCATTCATCATCTATAAAGTTCCTTCCATGTGTCAGACCTCTGTCTGTGCAGGGACTAATGAGATGCTGTCTTTCTGTGGAGCCAGTGATTCTAATAAAGTGCGCTGCTCGAGGTGGCAAAGGCAAGTGCAGAGCCCGGGGCTGGGGGAGCAGAGAGGAGTGCAGCATAGACGTAGCTTGGGGGGGTGGGGCTGTGGCATTAGCTCTGCTGATCCAGGAGAGGATGCCGTGGGGGGCCCTCCATCTGGCTGACAGCAGTGCTGGTTTCTTTCACTTCTCAGGGCTTCATGATTCTTGGGGAGCCTTCACTTGAATCATTTGACCTCCTAACTGCTTTATGACCCAAGCTGGAGAGCAGGGAGACAGCCCTCTCAAACACATCATTGAGTCAGAGGAAGGAACTATTGGTCATTGTTTCTTGACTGGTCTCAGCTTCTCCAGGCCAGTGTGTGTTTTGCCCCAGATCAGAGGAACTTTGCGAGGAATAGCAGTGTTAAAGTCAGGTGCTGAGAGTTTGACACTGGTGGGTGTGGGAGCCTGGTTTGCAGCGGGCTAAGAACCTAAAGCTGTGGAGGTGATGGTATTCCAGTTGAGCTATTTCAAATCCTGAAAGATGATGCTGTGAAAGTGCTGCACTCAATATGCCTGCAAATCTGGAAAACTCAGCAGTGGCCACAGAACTGGAAAAGTTCAGTTTTCATTACAATCCCAAAGAAAGGCAATGCCAAAGAATGTTCAAACTACCGCACAATTGTATTCATCTCACATGCTAGCAGAGTCATGCTCAAAATTATCCAAGCCAGGCTTCAACAGTATGTGAACCGTGAACTTCCAGATNTACTTTGCCAACAAAGGTCCGTCTGGTCAAGGCTATGGTTTTTCCAGTGGTCATGTATGGATGTTAGAGTTGGACTGTGAAGAAAGCTGAGCAGCAAAAACTTGATGCTTTTGAACTGTGGTGTTGGAGAAGACTCTTGGGAGTCCCTTGGACTGCAAGGAGATCCAACCAGTCCATCCTAAAGGAAATCAGTCCTGAATATTCATTGGAAGGACTGATGCTGAAGCTGAAACTCCAATATTTTGGCCACCTGATGCGAAGAACGGACTCATTGGAAAAGACCCTGATGCTGGGAAAGATTGAAGGCAGGAGGAGAAGGGGATGACAGAGGATGAGATGGTTGGATGACATCACTGATGTCATGAGTTTGAATAAACTCTGGGAGTTGGTGATGGACAGGGAAGCCTGGTGTGCTGCAGTCCATGGGGTCGCAGAGTCAGACACGACTGAGCAACTGAACTGAACTGAAGAACCTAAGTTTGGAAGATGAGATAGATCAGTCTAGAATAAGGACACAGAGACATACATATCACCATCTGAGGCTGGAATAGCCATCTCCAGCATGAAACAAGGTCACCAAGTGTGGTGAAGGTGCCTTGAAAGCATCTGAGACCTGCAGGAGTTGGAGGTGGGGGATGGTTGCCTGGGGGAAGCAGGGGCGCTGTTCCAGGCAGATGTCGAGTTTCTCAACTCTGAAGACCGTATGATGTCAGCCCTAAGGGACTGAGCAGAGGGAGGATCCAGTCTAGACTTATGCAACATGGACAACAGGCAAGGGAGTGGTCCTCAGGGAAGGAGGAGAGGGAAGCAGAGCCCTGGGTGCCATCTGTCTGCACTTGAGGAAGAGCCTCAAAAGACAGTGGAGCGGGGAAGTTACCAGGATCCACGTGATAAGAACAGAAGCAAGTCCAGGGTCTAGGATATCAGTTCAGGCAAAGGAAGGAAGCTGGAAATGACATGCTTGGTCACGAAGCCAGGAGCATGGTGCAGACCCACCAACCAGGTGCATGGCAGAAGTCCACAGGCCAGCCACGGCACCCGGGTGACCCTGAGGGTGTTTTTCAGAGCTTCTCTAGGTGGTTTCTTCCACTGCCTTGTGGTTGAACAGCTTTGGAATCCAGACTGTGAGTCAGCTTTAATCAAACTTTTAAGAGATTGCCTTGAGGGCTGAGACTGTAGACTTTCCCATGAGTGTGAAATGTCTGTTAGATATGATGAATCTTGTGGGTTCTCAGAAAATAAGAATTGAATACAAAGAGATAAGACTTCGTTCACTTTCTGAGCCTCTGTGTTGCAATGAGAGGCAGGTTGGGGACGGTTGGTGTAACCTCTCTGAACTCAGGGCTGGGTGTCAGGACACTGAACTGCAGGCTGCCTGATGAGTGAATGAATGCCAGCCAGGAGACAGAAAATCCTCCTTCCTCCAGACCCCCCTTGGCAGCCACTCACCCCATGTTGCTGGCTGGGCTGGACGCACTGACCCTTCCTATCCATCCTCCCCTTCCTTTCTGCAGCCAAACCACCCCCACCCCCAGTGCAGAAACATACATTGGTCCCCTGATTCATTAAGAAGGCAGCGTGCCTTCGAGGGAGCTCTTTCTGCACGTACTTTTGAATCCTCTTTTCTCCATACCCGCTGAGGCTTCTCTGAAGGACTTTCTTACCCCTTCATTAACTGGCAGTTTCACCAACTTAAATTTGAATCAAACAAAGATGCCTTTCTTGTAAGTGAGGCCAAGTCTACCAGAATGTACTCCATGTTGTTTGGAATACATTTGCTTATGTTTCTTTGGTGTTTGGCAGGTCGGGTTCACTCTGTAAATGTACCCTCTGTTCTTAGGCTGGGTGACATGTTTCCAAGCTTCCCTCCATTTTTCCTCCTGGAGCTTGTTACAGAGTTGCTCTGTGGTGTTCTGTATTTCAAGAAATCAAATCTGCAGTGATCCACTTCAAATGAGTGGGAACTGAACGGTTTGCTTTCAGAGCTGTAGCAGAGAAGACAATGAGTAATCCAGAACCAACAGAGTTAAGAGAAAGGAGAGAGGGGTGGATGCTGGCAGACTTGGTCTTTTTTCCCCTCAAGCCCTTTAACAATCGTAAACTGTGAGGTGGGAATCCCAAAGTGGGCAGTGGGTTTTGACCCACTCAGCAGTCTACACCATCTCCCAGCAGATGCTCTTTGTTTTATTGTGTTAGCCCCTCAGTCATGTCCAACTCTTTGCAACGCCATGGACTATAGCTCACCAGACTCCTCTATGGAATTCTCCAGGCAAGAATACTGAAGTTGGTTGCCAATTCCTCCTCCAGGGGATCTTCCTGACCAGGGTCTTCTGCATTGCAGGCAGATTCTTTACCATCTGCACCGTGGAAGCCCAGCAGATGCTCCGGGGGGCCTTTTTGTCCACCTGTAGCCAAGGTCATGGGCGGTTAGGCATGCGTTACTGAGAGGTGACTGGGTTGCCGTCTGCTGTAACAGGTTTACAATGTTGATATTACCATTTTAAACAACTGGATTGAGGTCAAGACTCTCATAGAGATTTTGTCACTGCTGACCTTGGTGAAATCGTAACTGCCACCCTGAGAGAAGGTGTCCATTATTCCATTTTTATCCAATACAAGTCAATGCATTGCCCTCAGCTCCCTTCTTGCCACTCCATTTATTTTTACTCAATAGAAGTTCCTTTTATGATGCAACATAAAATATCAAGTTCTTTATGTTCCATAAAGCAATTTAGAATTAATTCACATAGGACAAAATGTGTAATCTTGAGTATTGACTCATAATATGTCCCCTGAGGGTATCTGTGCATGTATCTCTGATTATATATTCAGGGTCATCTGTCGCTTAGCACTGCAAACATTAAGCAGAACGAAAGTAAGTTAAAGATACTTCACAAATTTTATTTAAAAATTTAATTCAGTCAAAACTCAGCCATATGATAAATTGGGTCCTGCAAGTTAGTTTGCCAGTTGGTAGTTTAGAACTTGGAAAGCATTTTCTTTTTTTTTTCCATTTATTTTTATTAGTTGGAGGCTAATTACTTTACAATATTGTAGTGGTTTTTGCCATACATTGACATGAATCAGCCATGGATTTACATGTGTTTACATGTGTTCCCCATCCCAATCCCCCCTCCCACCTCCCTCCCCATCCCATCCCATCCCTCTGGGTGGAAAGCATTTTCTTATTGAAGAAGGTGTTACAGATCATGCTCAAGTCCCCTGGACCAGCCCGTGAAAGTCTGCTCAGCATCATCAATGTAGGCCATAAATTAAAAAAAAAGAAAGAAAAAAATACAAAAAATCAAAATTGTGCATAGTGTTAAAAACTAAGATTTGAATTATGTTGAATACAAATGAAACTTGATTTTCTTTAGGAACCAGAGGATGATATGGAAATATAGAGGCTTTTTAAGGCTTCAAGGAATACTTTCAAGATATTTGCACATTCTGTTAATTTTTATGGTAAGAACAATGTATACTTTTGGGAAAGGACATTTTCAAAACAATGGAAAGGTAAAAAACAGCCCTCATCTTTCACACTCCTGTCCTACTCCCTAATGATAGCCATGGTGAGTTTCTTTCTGAACTTTTCAATGTGTGAGGCATTCATCTGAATATATTTCAAAGCCCCACTATCCCCTCCTTTCCTCACTTTCTCTCTTCTTCTTGTCTTTCTTAGGAAAAGACTTGGTCCCAATCCTGATCTATTAAATATGCCTACTAGCGCGGCGGGTGGGGAAAGAAAGGTGAGAAGGAGAAAAAGAATATAGAAGCAGTGGAATTCTCCTCTGTGGAAGACAGAGAAGGAAAAAAAATAGGGTCTCTCTCTGTCTCATGTTCCATAACTGACTTTTTTCACTTTATAACCAATGTGGTCATCTGGGCCTCATTCTGTACCTATTTTCTTTAACAGACAGCTAGTGTATCATCTCATGAGTGTACCATAATTCATCCCTCTCATTTCCATGTATGTTTACCATGTCAGACAATACTATGATTAACAGCCATGTACTTGTATTCTT